ACACCATCAGCACATGACCGGCGCACCGACAGAACAGGACCGGGACCCATCAGAACAGGACCGGGACACCATCAGCACTTGACCGGGACACCATCAGAATAAGACCGGGATTTCATCAGAACAAGACCGGCACACCATCGGAACAAGACCGGGACACCATCAGAACAGGACCGGGAGACCACCGGGACACCATCAGAACAGGACCGGGACACCATCAGAACAAGACCCGGACACCATGCGCCCACCAGATCTGCCGGTGACCCGACGAGGCCTGTCTGCCTATTAGTCATGCAAGACCCCATCGAAGTACATTGCTATTGGGGGAGACTCAGTCGGAGGACATGTCCATCCCGACATTCTTGGTGTGGCGGCCTCTAGACGCATGTGCAAAACACTGAAATGTGCCTTTGGTAAGTGTGTTGTGTACTTGTCACCCTGTAAAGGGGTACAGCATTTGCTTTTTGAATCAGCCTAGCGTTTGTGGGCGCTTGGGTTTTTGTTAGCTAAAGTTCTCAAATAGCTCACTGCTGAAGTAGGCCCTGACTGATAGTCTGCAAGCAACTTACGAAAGCCCGCTTTGTGAGGGGGTTGTGACTCCAAGCACTTGACCTGACGCAACCACTTGGCAGATGTCCTGCACATCCAAACCGTCAGGACAAAACGGCGCATAAGATCTTCCCTGTGTTTTGGCTGGCGGCCATGGCTCCTATTTGCGCCGACCCGACTTTTGGACCAGATGCAGTAGTAAAGCAGCCCCCCCCACAATTTTTCCTCCCGGTGCACTATGCTGTCCGGTCTTTCATTTCTTTTGAATCAGCAGCCAGAAGGTATAGTACAGGGACACAGTTGGTGTCGAGATGTTTGGACAGTGGACATTATCTTTGTATATGGCTTGGTCAGCTCGCAAACCGTGAACCTCGTATCGTTTAGGGTGGTGGACGCAAGCCACTTCCTTCCCATGTCAGGTGTGTGTCTCTTTGGCGGTCTTCCAATATCTCATGGACCTCCGGCTCACCAGCTATGAGGCAGGTCACCACTGACGCTGTTTCTTGGTCAACTCCCACGCCCACATGGCCTTTGCTTGTAGGTAGTTGGTAGGTAGATGCTTTGGTCGGTATGGCCCCGTACGGCAGGGCTGGATATCACCAAATGCATTCGTTTGCCCCACATTCCCGTTGCGCCACCAGAGCAGACTGTTCGCAGCAGGTGGCGCCCAGCACGGCGTTTTTGTTCGAAGTTTTGGTGCCGATCTCCTTGGGCATTTTCTCTTTCGTCGCCTTGGGCGATCCTGGCAAGGCCTGACCTGATCACAGTGTGGGATGGTCATGTGGATGATGGTGGATTGTTGACTGATGGTTGGGTGGAGTGCATGAAGGACTTTTGCCATTCAGTTCCTTTCAGCGTGTGGACTGCAGTTCGGATCGGCCCCCGGTTGGTTACAGTACTTGACTTTGAACAGGAGCCATGGATTTTTGCAAGCAGAACGCCGGATGGGTAACGTTTTGGATCCTCATTGCCCAAGTAGCAAATCCCAAGCGCAACGTCTCCATGTATGCCTTGACCGTAACCACAAAGGTTCGCACTGAACATCTCGAAATATATTATTACTAGTAGCTTCTTGTTACTAGTAGTAAGGCCAGGAGCTACTAGTAGCTTCCTTGCTCCTAGTAGAAATGCCCTTTGTTACTAGTAGGTATGCCCTTGCTCCTAGTAGTTTCTTGTTCTATTTTTGTGAACTATCCTTCCTTGAAGATCTTGTGGACATTTCAATTTCAATCTACCAATCCCGTGAAAACTCTTCATAAGCCCCCCCCCCTAAAGACTTGCACAAATCCACTAAAAGCCATGTGAGCCGCAATCAAAGCTTGCAAAGACAACTTTCGCAGAGAAGGGTGGTAGGTTTGTGCAAGAAAGGGTGTAAAACGATAAAGTCCCTGCCAATTATATCTTTGGTATTTTTGGCCAATTCAAAACCGACATTCCCAGCCTACTCGTAGTATATGGATCATAAATAATCATAAGAAATAAGGTCCACCCAAAACCGTGAGCGTTCGTTATTGTTGACGAAGGACAAGAAGTTTTGACCGCTCCTCATATGAAACATCATGGTGTCCTTCAGAGCAGTCATTCCCAAGAGATCACCACGCCGGTCTCGATGTCCTCACTCACCTCCCACGCTCGTGCCACCAGGTCCCGGCTCGTCCTCAAGGGAACTCTGGCGTAGAGGCAAGCTGGTCTGAGGAATTTCAAGGTCCCCAGGCAGTAAATGATTTGACTTCAGCATGGTTTGAGTCTGAAGTTGAATCCGCAAAACTTCGCCTGAAAGCCTGAAAGAAAGCCAGACCTGGTTGGCTGACTGGCAGGACTACCACCAAATGCTCATGCTTGGTAGCTGGATCTCTCTTGGGGAAGTGGCAATCCTGCAATAAGGGAGAGATATCTCGCACCTAGCTACCAGTCCGTTGTTTTGATCAAGAAGGAACGGCTCACAATGGTCGGTCTGCTGAACCCCCGGAGTGTTTAACTCCAGAAAACAACATGTCCAAATGCAATAGCTATAGGTCTGGTTGTTGGGCATTTCCTTTGGACTATGCCCCAGTCTCAGGAGCTCATGAAAGCTTTGGACACAGATGCAGCAGTCTCTGGGCAAAACAGAGATTCGCTTGAGATGTCCTTACCCTGTACAATTTGTGGAGGTACCCTTGACGGGACAAAGGTGGAAGATGATCGAAGTAGAACATGATGGTGACCTGATTGTTTGCATCTTTTTGCAAGACATGTCCAAGACATGTCCTCCTGTACGTGTCCAAACTGGTTTGCTTCTGACCTCGATGTTGATCGTGGTTTGGATGTAGGTCGACAGAAGTTCCTATGTTGCAGCAGATGGTTTGAGCAAAAAAAACATAGATCCCCACGGTCACCAGCACAATCATCCGGACGGTCAGGTCAACAAAACAACTGTTGATGGAGGTTTCTTGTTGGACAGCTACATATAGCTTCAATGCATAAACAGGAGATTGATTTGTCAAATGGAAGACTTTAGAGATCAACCGAAACCACACCGCTCCAAGGACAACGATCCGCCGGACGTGAACCGCCTTTGCACCACCACCTGGGTGCTGAAAGGGTGCGCCACGTGCCGTCAACGCGACTCGTGGGGACTCAGTAGGGTCAAGCCAATCGAGATTGATTGAGGGTGGTGGGCACCCGAAATGGGTCATGGTAGGTTTGTCGAGGTTTATGGAGGGGCATGTCGACATCGTTGTCATCCTTGTGAGGAGTAGCAGATAAGCAGTACGTATAGGTCATTTGGATTAAGGTGTTGGTATCCTTATTCAGGATTTGATCGAGATGACCAAGAAGAAGCGGCGCTTGCCCCAAAGAACGCCATCGCTAGAGTGTTAGGAAGATAGATAGTGCGCGAGCACTTTTGTGCTGCCGATACAAGTCTTTCGTGAGTGCAAGACATGTCGTATCCTAGTCATGCCAGAGAGCCTTGGTTGTGCCCCTTTTCTATATGACGTGTCCTTATATTCGACGAGAAATAGGGGTACACGTGGGGGGTCCCCTGCAACCCTTGGGGGCTCTAACTCGACTCGGTTGCAAAGTTACGAGATCCAGGAAATAATGGCTCTCACGGTCGCTTTGGTGAAGCAATGGCTGGGCATTGGGCTTTGGATCTCCTCGATCCGCCACGCCGAAGGCTCCGCACGAAATACTGCGTGCAGACTGGCGCCTGTGTGGAGGAGACATGGTAGTGGGATGTAGTGGGAGTCTCTGAAAAAGGCAAGGGCCTACAGATGGCAAGGTCCTTGTTCTTGGGTCCGATCGGATGGTGCTGGTGCACGCAGGGTCTTGTGACTGTGCGCGAACCAGCTGGGGAGGTATAGAATTTGTCATCGGCTGCATAGAACTTGTCATCGGTTTCATAGAACTTGTCACCGATTAGTTGTGTGTTATAGTGGGGTGGGGGGGCGACGCGTCAGTGTAAGCAGTGGAGTTCCCTCGGAAAGAACGAGGGATGATGCGAATGCAAGACAAGTGCGAAAGCGCAGTTTGAAGCAAGCGGTTGTTTTTCCGTGAGCTTGAGCCAAATGCATCATGTGCATAAAGTGTGAGACCAGACAGGGTTAAATGAGAAGCAAAACGAAACACAAAACAGACACAATCTTCCCAACCCCTGTGCATGAAGTTGCCTTGGTCGATATTTGCGGCGAAGATCGTACTTAATCGGGTTTGTATTATTTCACTCTTTTGTTAGAGTACTAATACTAATTTCCTTGTACACGCAAAACAGTGAGACACTAGTGAAGGGAGACCCTACAAGCGATCTAAGTGAAGCTGAACGAAAACGCACGCGCACAAACAGGCATGAATCACGAAAGTGCTTGTACAAGAAGCAAACGGCATTGAGCTTACACTTGTGGGTTCACTTCTCCTTTTCGGCTAACTAACACAAAGATGCACCAATGATCAATATAATATGTGTGTGTCCACCCGGAAAAAAAAAAAAACCGATCCTCAGATTCCACGCTGTTTTACATCATTGGAGGTGCGACGAACCACCGGATCGGCGCGTTAGTTGGGTGCAAAGATTTGGATATGAAAGTTCTTTGCACGAAGGGCCTGTGGAGGTTCCAAGATCTGGTGGACCACACTTCTCCACCACAAGAGAAAGTACGTGCGGCTTGAGTATGTTGGGGGGGTCATTGTGCATACCCTTGTTGAATGAAAAGAACCTGCTCATTAAAGACGTTGGATCTAGAATCTAGAAGGTGGTTGGAGGTGCCTAGCCCTATGTGTTTCTTGGCAATGTTCCGTGGTATGCGTCCTTTATGGGAAAAGAGGAGCAAAACTTGAACCAACAAGTGTGTTTTATACTGCAGCGATTGTGATTTGCAACTAAGTGCCAACGTACATCCTTTGGGTTCCCTTCCAGGTTCAGTCACTAGCTTTGTCGGGTTCGGCACTGCAGGAGTTCGATCACTACTGCGTTTGGCTCAACAACACCATCGGCTCCTCGATTGTGAACGGGCGGAATCGTGCCCTGGTGTGGGGCAGGTTGGTGGTCTCTGCGTTTGGTGGCAAAAGTTCCTAACATCACGACCTGCACCAGTTCCTTGAGTGAAATGGATTTTATCACAAACCCAGGGAAGTCAGCAAATTCGTCAAATGGAGGACGGGATTTGGACCTCGAACACTGAAGCTATGGACTCCATAGGCCATAACGGAGCGGACTTGTGTCTGGCCTTCGTGTGGATGCTGTCCGCATTCACCATCAAATGGATCTATTTGGAGTAAGATCACATGCACTATGCACTTAACAAGTTTCGGCACGTTGGACAGGCAACCTGCCTGAATTGTTACATGTGTATCTATGTGTGGATTCAAATCCTTGAAATGGACCATGCATGTCCCCGGAGAGGGAATGTGGTGAAGGACCTTCAGTGAGGCGAAACCCCAAAGCCCCTTTGGATTTAGTAAGGCACCTGTCACTACTAGCGTGGCACTTGTTTCTACTAGTAAGGCACTTGTTTCTAATAGCTTCTTGTTGCTACTAGTAAGGCACCTGTTACTACTAGCGTGGCACTTGTTTCTACTAGCTTCTTGTTCCTAGTAGTAAGGCACTTGTTACTAGAAGCGATGCACTTGTTCCTGCAGTAGTGACCTTTCCGATTTCGAGCGTTCAACTACTGTACTTGCCGACGTGACCCGGAGCCATGTCCGTTGTCGTGGCATCACGACCTGTGATGCGGCATAGCATAGCGTTCATTTGATTGTTAATGACACATTGCTCGAGGGGTGCTGAATACCATTCGTTTGCAAATGGTGCAGGAAAACTAGTCCATCAGCCTTCAAACGTTCAACCAAAAATGAAAATGTGGGAATAGGTGGCCAATAAAATCTAACAATCAAATTTGTTTTGAGCATGAAATGCCAGGAGTATCATCCCTGTCTCAGCGTCAGTACCATCCCATGTAAGCAGCCCAGTTCTTCTAGTTACTCTCCGTGGAATGGCCTAGGGATCCTGTGTTTCTTGGCTCAGGAAAGGCAAACCACCGGCAGTTTGTGGGCCGCGCACTCAGAGAAACCAAAACACGTCCTGGTTGCATGCGTTCTGAACCCTGAACCAAACCTAAAGAGATAAAATGGATACAAGAGGATCGGTATTCTCAATAGTATTCTCGCAGACTTAGTGAAGCTACAAAGGGGCACTTTCCGACCTCAGCTCCGAAAACCGGTGGATGGAGGCTTGGCCGTGGTGGAGTTCCTCACCCAGGCCGAGAGAAGCAGGAGGTTAGGTGTTTGAGGCCGTCTGAAACAAAAGGGTGTGTGATCCGCAGTGCAATGGGCGATCTTCCAAGAGACCACAGCAGTTTAGGTCATTATGCAAGAACCGACCGTTCACTGCCTGTCAGATCTTCTCATTCTGACAGCTAGAAAACAGCAGGTGACCCACATCCGCCTTTGTTTGCTGGGGAGCCCATGCGTGCGCTTTTTTATGGGGGATAGGCCGCGACAGTAGAGCTAGGTAGCTACTACCTAAGTAGCTACTACCGACAGGACGCAGGCGAGCTCGCACTAAGGATTTGGCTCCTAGATTTTTTGGGAAACTTAGGGCGCAGCAGGGCACAGCTTTGCATTTACACAGGTAATTGTCACAACTCAGCCGTGTTTCTGAGGCTGATGGCATCCACTTTGGTACCCTACCAATCCTTCACGCAGTTCGTTTGGGGTGTCCTCACTGGATATCCTTTGCTCACCCTCATCGCCCGGAACCCTAAAGAAGTCTTGATGATTTGGGGCGAGGCGTTGCTGGCAGACTTGATGCCTTATTGGCCAATTAGAAGGGCCGTGAAAGGGTGCCATATAGTCTCCCAATTCTTGAGCCAGTGTCATTTGGAAGCCCTTCTTTTGGCAAGCGCCAAGATACGTTTCAAATGAGAACCGCTTCTCAGACTGTGCCAAAAAGCTGACGGGCTACAATTTCCAGACGCTTCAACAAGAGGTCTTTCATTGCTGGATGCCACATACACTTTCGCTGTGCTGTGCGATTGTTGAGGCCACAGAAATGGCAATCAGTCAAAACCTTTTGGTATGGATCAGTGGCGGGTTGACCTTTTGTTCCAGACGATTCATACCGTTCCACGCCTTGTTCGATACCTCAATTTCATTCCCCAAGCGGTTTCGGTGTGTCCGCCTCCGTGATTTGTTCGGTGTGTCCGCCTTGAGCTACGTTCGTAGCGTCTTTGCTCCTAGCGATGCCCTTTGCTCCTAGTAGCTTCCTTGTTACTAGCAGTAAGAATAGCTTCTTGTTACTAGTAGTCAAAGGAAGTTTAGTGCACGAAACTTCCATGTTACGGACATTCAAGAACTGTTCATACACCACTCATCAATACACCACTCATCATACACCACACCACTCATCATACACCATTCATTATACCCCACTCATACACCACTCATCATACACCACTCATCATACACCACTCATCATCCAGTTAGCTGTAGTTTCAAGAGCTCTAGCTCCAGTTAGCTCTAGTTGCAAGAGCTCTAGCTCCAGGTAGCTCTAGTTTCAATAGCTCTAGCTCCAGGTAGCTTTAGTTTCAAGAGCTCTAGCTCCAGTCAGCTCTGGTTTCAATAGCTCTAGCTCCAGTTTACGTGGCAGGCACAGCACTTTGTGAACCTTCATGTGCAGATTTCGTGGCAGGCACAGCACTGTGTGAACCTCAAGGCGCAGATTTCGTGGCAGGCACAGCACTTTGTGAACCTCCATGTGCGGATTTCGTGGCAGGCACAGCACTTTGTGAACCTCCATGTGCAGATTTCGTGGCAGGCACAGCACTTTGTGAACCTCCATGTGCAGATTTCGTGGCAGGTGCAGCACTTTGTGAACCTCCATGCGCAGATTTCGTGGCAGGCACAGCACTTTGTGAACCTCCATGTGCAGATTTCGTGGCAGGCACAGCACTTTGCGAACCTCCATGAACCTCCATGTGCAGATTTCGTGGCAGGCACAGCACTGTGTGAACCTCGAGGTGCAGATTTCGTGGCAGGCACAGCACTTTGTGAACCTCCATGTGCAGATTTCGTGGCAGGCACAGCAATTTGTGAACCTCCATCTGCGGTTTTCGTGGCAGGCACAGCACTTTGCGAACCTCCATGTGCAGATTTTGTGGCAGGTGCAGCACTTTGTGAAACTCCATGCGCAGATTTCGTGGCAGGTGCAGCACTTTGTGAACCTCCATGCGCAGATTTCGTGGCAGGCACAGAACTGTGTGAACCTCCATGTGCAGATTTCGCGGCAGGCACAGCACTTTGTGAACCTCCATGTGCAGATTTCGTGGCAGGCACAGCACTTTGTGAACCTCGAGGTGCAGATTTCGTGGCAGGCGGAGCACTTTGTGAACCTCCATGTGCAGCTTTCGTGGCAGGCACAGCACTTTGTGAACCTCCATGTGCAGATTTCGTGGCAGGTGCAGCACTTTGTAGTACAACTTTAGTACGCGGAGTATCTGCGGAGCTGGAAGATGAGAACTGGCGACCTTGTAGCACAACTTTAGTACGCGGAGCAAACGGTGGAGCTGGAAGCTGAGAGCTGGCGACTTTGTAGTACAACTTTAGTACGCGGAGTATCTGGGGAGCTGGAAGATGAGAACTGGCGACTTTGTAGTACTAGTTTAGCACGCGGAGCAATCTGTGGAGCTGGAAGATGAGAATTGGCGACTTTGTAGTGCATTTTTAGTACGCGAAGTATCTGGAGAGCTGGAAAATGAGAACTGGCGACTTTGTAGTGCAAGGGGAGCTGGAAGCTGAGAACTGGCGACTTTGTAGTACAACTTTAGTACGCGGAGTATCTGTGGAGCTTGAAGCTGAGAACTGGCGACTTTGTAGTACAACTCTAGTACGCGGAGCAAGCTGTGGAGCTGGAAGCTGAGAACTGGCGACTTTGTAGTACAACTTTAGCACGCGGCTGAGTCATCTCTATTCTGTATTTTGCAAGAATGCATGAACAACGTTTTTTCCTGCGAGACAGTTGACGGTGGTTGCTTCGCTTTCGCTCCATTGGTCGGTTCCAACTTGCTATGTCAAAGAACATCGCAGCTCGGCGAATCAGCCTGCCACATGCCCATTTCCTATAGGCTTATTCTTTTGGAAACTTCCGCCGCCGTCTTGCCCGGGAACTACTTGTACTTCTATGCATTTGTCTCCCAGTCTGGGCTAATTCCACAGGACTGAGTGGGGTGGATTGGAAGAACTTGTTCCGGCGTGTGCGGCTTCGTTCCAGACCAGGTTCCATACCGTTCCAGACCCGTTCCAGACCTGCTCGAGCTCATTTTGGACGTTTCCCCGCGTTATGAGGCCTTCTCTTGTGAAGGGGGTCCTTCTCTGTAGGGTTGTTTTCTGCATGAAGTCTAAGTGCATTTGCATATGTACGTGTGTATATGTGCTCACTATTAAGTACAAATAGAGAAGACATTCCAGACCTCCGGAACACACCTGCCGTTCTAGGCCTCCGGATCAGGAGGTCTACATGGGGAGCCGGGCATTTGATCCACAGCCAAATGTCGTTATGAAGCATCAATTCTGATCCATTGTTGATGAACTGGAGACACCTGGTTCAAGACAACAAAACTCGCATGACATTACAAGGGCTAGTTGTCAGTCGCTACCGTCCTGCTGTTCTCGTTCGGGGAAGACTTCCAATATGATTTGGTCAAGACAAGCATCGTGATTTTGTCGCAACCGTTGCCCTCATTTTTAGCCCAGAAAGTGCGATGAGGTCTTAGTCCATTGCATCACTGCACCCTGGGTCGTAGCCTTAGAGGGTGATGTGCAAGCGCAGTGGAGTCTTTCCATTTGCACACCAAACAGAGCAGCAGCAGTAGCAGCAGCCATTCTTGGAATTTTGTGGACTGGCCAGGGGAACAAAAGAGCAAGACACTCCGCTCAATAACTAAATACTATTTCGAGAGCCACGAGGTCTGAGTTCCAAATCTTGAGCGGCGACAGGGCATGCGAAAGGGAGCCAGCACCATTCAAGCGGCAAGCACGAACGAGTCAAGCAGGGTCAGTGTTTACGAGTGGGCTTTTGTTGCGGGGCGCCATGAGAGGTCTTCATGTTGACGCTTCATCAAGCTCGACTGGCCCCTTGGAAATGAAGAGTTCAGGCGACGTTGGAAGTGCAAACATGCCTTGCTGTGAACATGGTTTATATTTGGTGTTGGTTATTTGTTTAACCGTAGGTAGTTTTAGATCTGTAGATTCTTGTGATCTCCTTTTTCAATGTCGAGTCCCGTTTTGTAGGCTGGGGCAGAATTTACAAGGCAGCGTTCCCGAAAGAATTCCCAACCCTTGAATTGGTATCAAGGTTGGAACAACAAGTTTTTTCTCCCAGAGTTGGTTGTGTTTTTCCTAAATGTTACTATTCCTCATCCTACTACTACCACAACCCTACTCCTCCTCGTTCTCCTACTCCTACAAGCTACTCCTACTAACTACTAACTAATGTCAACAACAACAACAACTACTACTACTACTACTACTATATTACTACTACTACTACTACCACCACTACCACTACCACTACCACTACCACTACCACTACTACTACTACTACGACTACTACAACAACAACTACTACTACTACGACTACTACAACAACAACAACTACTACTACTACGACGACTACTACTACTACTACCACTACGACGACTACTACTACTACTACTACTACTACGACTACGACTACAGCAACAACTACTACCACTACTACTACTACTACGACTACGACTGCGACTACGACTACCACTACCACTACCACTACGACCACCACCACCACGACCACTACCACTACGACTACTCTTGCCTCATGCTGCTGCTGCTACTGCTGCTACTGCTACTGCTACTACTACTGCTACTACTGCTGCTGTTGCTACTAATGCTACTACTGCGCCAGAAGTCCTTGGAATTGCTTTGGTGGAGCACTTGCTATTGAGTCTCCCTCAGTCGTTTTCTAGGAAAAAACTTACTAATAAAGACCGACATTAAATAGATGTGTGCCACTTGACACTGCCTGGCCAAACAGCGACCGGGACCTTTGTTGACTTGCTGAATGAAATGACAACACCATGCCCAGCAGTTGCTAAAAGCCGAGATTGCACTCGCTTGGATGGAAAGGAGAAAAGGAAATCAATTGTGGAAGAATCAACGTTGTGAACATCCCCAACACGTCAATCTCGAATTGAGTCTTTTGTACGCACCACAGCAGCTTGCTGGGGTTCAGCAACCCCTCTGAAAGTCTCTAGGTGATGTAGGTAACATTTTGAGCCGTGGTCCCTTTGAAGATTTGTAGATGTTTCCTGGGTGAGCATGAAAGCATTGAGGTCATGATGAACCTGACCACCAACGAGATGATGAACATGCACAGGCACAGCTGTTGCAAGGCCATGTTCTTGCATGTGTTTGCCAAGAAGGCTGCACGGTACCCTTCACATAATGCTACACAAGTATGACAGGAGTTTCATAGAAGCAAAGTGTTTGATTGCAAGGACATTCGCTGCACCCGCAGGTACGAGCACTTCTGGGTAGTCAGGACTATGGTGACAGGTGCGTCCAAGGATGATGTTCAGTTGCAAAAACTGTTGTGTATTTATTAATTTGGGCAAGTTCAACCTTTCTACATTTGTTTAATGACTTTTTACATGTCAGAATGCATTCTTAGACAACTGGGAAACCACGAGAAACCTTTGCGCCAAGGCACGCGCACATGGGAGTGCGCACTGGATCCCAGGGGTTGGCCTTTCGCGCCTGCGGCAGGTCATGCGCACAAGACTTTCCGGAATCCTTTTAACAAGGCAAGGGCGGAGATGAGAGGCGACTTGTGATTAGGGTTGCCATCATTCGCGATATGTTGTTGTACTTTGCGTTCTTCTCTGAATAAGTGCCTTGTTTATTGCTGACTGTGCTTCTGTGATCCTTTGAGGCAGATAAAATCTCTATATATAATATGTAAATTGTGTGTCCCAATGAATGATTCAATTCTGCATGGTTGAAGTGGGCCAAACTGATCCTAACATCAAACGCGCGTGCCGAGAATATCCCAAACATACGCTTCACGGTGGGTTGGTCGATCAGTTACGTTCTTGCCTTGCTTACTGACATTCTTGTTTTGTCCATTCTGCTTTAAGAAATTGAAAAATAACTAGACGGTGAATAGCCCGAGAGCCTTGAAACACATGCATACAAGTTCTGTTGATTGTGTTGTATCGCAACACCTGTGGATCACGCGTCTTTCTACTTGTCGCATCGTCTGCAAGTGTCTACACCAAACCTCGTTGACACCGCCAATCATCCTGCTCCCCAGCGACGTGCCGCGTTTACGCTGTGCCACAATCTATGTTAACACTGCAACACCAACATCCCAGAAAGCGCTTCCCATACTAAATTTGGGCTACAAAGTGTACTACAAAGTTGCCGGTCGCCGCTCCCAGAAGCTGCTTCCCGTATTACATTGGTACTACAAATAGTTACCACTCCTGAGGCCACAGCTCCCAGAAGCTGCTGCCTGTACTGCATGTCTTCCATAAACCTCCCATTTCGACGACAGTTACGCACTTTGGCAACATCCACCTGCAAATGTGGTGGCTTGCCACCAAATCCTAACTCTTGCATGGCCCAGCACTTGTGTTGTTTGCAGCTGCTGTGGTAAGGCTTGGTCAGCTTGGTGAATGACTTCGAGCAGCTGCAAGCTTTGTGAGACGTTTGTTGTGTTTGCTCTTTTGTTGGCTGTGATGCCTTTGGCTCGCCCAAAGCCAATGGTGCGGACTGGCCCCCATTCAGGTGAGCCTTGCAAGAAAAGATCTTCCCAGGTCACAGGTCCGTCTGTTTCTGTCTGCGAAATTGGACACGCCTGCAGCGATGAATTTATGTGAGTGACAAATTCTGGCCAACTTGGGCCCAATATGCAACACCTGCCAAAGCGATGGCCGGAGAAATTTGCCAGCGAAAAGCCTTCTACAGTATGTGCCTCTGCAAGATGCCTAGAGGATGAAGCCAGGACACGGTGGGCCACGGAATGGTTTGGGCGTGCTGAGCACGCGATGCCTTGCAGTGCTTAGACAGGCGTTGTACTTCTTCTGTCCTACAGATATACCTCGACGGCGCACCTTCTACGCTTCAAAAGAATTTGAGCGATTTTTCGGACTCCTTCTACTCCACTTTAGGCTGGGGTCCCGGTTGTCCTGCTTTGCAGCAGTTGGTAGATTTCCGACCGCGGCGGACAGCAGAGACGCTCTGCGTTAGCAGTTCTTTCTGGCAACGTCCACTTTCAATGCTACAAACTATTTGGCAACATCCACCTTCGTTGCGTCGACAGTCACACACTTTGGCAAGGCCCGCTTTCGTTTTCGACGACAGTTACACACTTTGGTGCCACCCACCTTTGTTTTCGACGACCGTTACACATTTTGGCAACACCCGCCTTCATTCTGGACGACAGTTGCATACTTTAGTTCCACCTTTGTTTTCGACGACAGTTACACACTTTGGCAACTGCAACCTTCGTTTCTTTACGACAGTTGCACCTTGGCAACTTTCACCATTTGAAGTCATCCCAATTTCCCCTTGCACCTTTTGACACTTGACACGCTTTGCGCGAAAGGGTTGTCTCGGACATTTTGAAATCGCATTTTCCACAGATTTTTGACGCAGGTGACACGCATTGTCGCGCGAAAGGGTTGCGTTTCGTGGTGCCTCGTCGGCATTACCCCCGTCCGCGATAATTCTAACCAAGAGAGAAGGAGAGGGAGACGAGAAAATGAGTCAAAGAGATGTGCAAATCGGAAGATGCGCGTGTCAGGATATGCGGGGACGTGCAGATGTAAAGATATGCGGGTGTGCAATATGAGCAGATGTGAAGATGCGCGTAACTGGGTATGTGCGGATGCAAGTTGCGATGATATGTAATGTTCACTGTTTTGTTCCTGTTTTTTAGAAGAACCCTTCGCTCAGGCGCTCTCGGGGAAAGATTCACACATGAAAGAAACAATATGATTGACTTCGAGTGATCCCGACCATGGCAACGGGTCCGGCGGTGTCCACTTGAGAATGTGGGCCCGACATCTTCTGTCATCATTTCTGGCATTCTACGAGGCATATTTCGCATCTTGTGTAACATTCCATATCATTGGGCATCTATTGTGAGATTCTAGTTGGCACCTATTTTGGCATTCTATTTGGCATACATTGTGGCATTCCTTATGACATCGCGTGGTGCCCAGGACAAGGAGGGAAGGAAGGGAGGGAGGAAGGAAGGAAGGAAGGAAGGAACGAAGAGGAGTTGAGAGCTGAAAGAAAATCTAACAACCCTCACTTGGTGGGGAACCACTAAATACTAAAGGCCTTAACGAAGCAAAACATGTTCGGGTCCGCCTAGGGCAGTGCTTGGAAGAACTGCTTGGACTTCTGGTGGTATCGGAGACGTGGAGACGTCGGGGCTGCTGGTGCCAAGTGATTTGCGCTGTCGATGTGGTTGGTTTTCGGCTGGTGCCCCCAGTAACGGGAGAACTCGGAATCCAGCAAGTTTTTGCGTCTTTGGGACGATGCTCGGTTGTAAGCGAATATTAATATGCAGCAGAAATGTTAACGTATATTGTTTCCTAGGTCGAAATGTTGAACACTACTCCTTGTACCGTCCTTGCAATCAAACCTTGCCCTTAGCCGTTACCCTCTGGGGCCTCCGCAGTTTCAGCAGCGAAGGAGCACCACGGAGGGGGAACCTTTTTCAGAGTTTGAAACCCATTTCAGAGTTTCGGTGCAGCTGAGGTGGTGGAACAAGTTGACTGCTGTTCCCATGGCTGCAGCCACAGACTGGGTCTCAGGGCCTCAAGGCCTGTCCAGGACCTAAGTTCAGCCCACTCTCCAGTACCAGACAACATCAGGCAACCCAAACGATTTGTTCTGCCAAAAAATTTGACGACTTGGGTTCCAGCAGAAAAAGTGTTGACACATTGCTGTCCTAATAGGAAGAACCCTTCAAGCGCAAGCCAATCCAGCTAAGAGCTCCTGGCAAGCCAAAGGCGTAAGGTCCATGACCATCGAATGTTGTCGATGACATTGCTTTGCTGGTTCTCTCAGCATAGGAGCCAATAGCACGTGGAAGGTCCACAACTTTCCCGTTTCTCTTCACCAGCCCATTTCAGCATTGAGAGAGTAGCGAGATCGAATCATGCCAAATACTTGCGTTTTGGAGTCAACAAAGGTTTCGTGTCTCGCTGACTGAGGCCACTGAAGGGAAGCCAGGTGGGCTGAGTGTTGCCCTAGAGTTTTGGATGCTTGGACAAAAGGTTGTGTGTTCTCGCCTGTGATGATCAGTCGCACCCCTATCAGGAGCTGCTCAGCTGCTGTGCGAGGGGAAATCCTGCAACAGAGCAGTAGATCAACTGTGCTTCCATCAAGAGACGTGCGATTCTGTTCAAAAACATGCCTGTGTTTGTCGGCAACTGTGGGTTCCAACACATTTGAGGAAGGATCCACTTTCGTTCTTCTTAAACTTACAGGCCTGCCAATTCATTCTGCACTTTACAGACCAAAGCAACGAACACATGGGCCACGTACTCCCAGGGTCTATCTCCCTATTTGGGTCTATGTTCTTGGCTTGTTAGTTGGACATTGAAGGCTTTGTCGGAGAATTCCTTCGTCTCGTCTTGGCGGTTGGTTTCACCTGAACGAATTTCATGCAGTGCCGGCCCAATGCGAGCGACGTTTGGCCTCCCAGCGAAGGAACAACCAACACCGATTCCAAAAGTTAGAACCCATTCAAAGCTGAGGATTCACTGGGAGTGCATCAAGTGGGTTTCAATCCTAGAATGAAGATCCATTCAGCCCGTTGTTTGGAGCTTGGGCTCCTTTTAGACCCTCAACGGATCAAGGAATTCGCTGAGGTTACTTTGCCAAGTTAGCTCAAGCTGAATAGGAGGAACTCCACATTAGGGATGGGGAAGTTACCGGTGACACAGGTCAAGTTTTTGACCTGTCAATGATGGGTGTCCAATTTGCGCAAAGAAGCAGTCTGTCTCCCAGCCCCAGCCCTGTATACCAAACGTGCAACACCAGCCAGAACATAGCTCTTGCGAGCAAAAGAACCGATCATTAATCTGAAATTGTGCGTGACGTCGAAGAGGCAAACAAAGTTCAAGTGTACACGGTCCTGTTTCATAAAAGTGAGATCAGAAGAGCTCAAGTGGTTTGACGACTAGGCGCGTTTTGAATTGAAGCGTCAGGTTTGTTGGAAGGACACTTTCTCCAAACACTTTAATTAAGGATCTTTAAGGTAATGGTGCCAAGCTCGTTGGTCGCTGGCTCGTGGCTCGTTGTTGAATTGTCCTCATTGTCGCAGCATGGCTGTTTCGCGAGGCAGGTACACTTTGACATGTTGAGCCCAGGTAGCCACTCTTCGTGGGATCCTCGTGTTTCGACATGCTTTGATGGACAACGGCAACCGCGCCTGAACAAACGCAGCTGGGCACAGTTGGGCCCGACACAACAAGAAGTAACGTGAGTCAACACTGGCCGAACAACGCAGGTGCCGTGAGACGATGCTGCTGCCAAAAACTCGTCAGCCGCTTGAGCTGCTCTGGCGGGAGGAGGCTTGATGACTGCGCAGCAGCAACGACCAGCAGAGAAAGAAAATCACTGCTCATCAAACCCATTGACGGACCACTGCCACAAACAGCTTCTAAGCTTTTGGTTTCCAGCCACTGGCGGGATGGACATGTCAGAGAGAACCACAGCTCGTCATCAATGATGAGGAACCAGAAGTCCCCCGTTTGCACCGCTTTCATTGTGCAAATTACCATTGAGTCGAGTTCGCGCGGCGTACACGAGTGTGTGCACAGAAGCTCCTCAACCTTTTTGCCTTTATGGCAACTTCGTGGGCCCGCTCAGGCCCAGGCGTTATACCGTTTATGATAACCCACGTCTTTCTTGGGGGCGCTGGATTTCTTGCGCGCAAGCACATGCAAATACGTCGCAAAAGCTACTACGCCGTCACTAAGCCCCGCCTTGCTTGGAGGCGTTTGGTGAACGCGCGTCACACTGCATCATTTCTTTTCCAGTCCACATGGTGCTTTGCGGCAGCAGAAGTGGATATAATACCACGCGCGCAAACAGCGCGTTGCCTCAGGGGCTTGCTGGGTCACCTCCACACCACAGTATCCCCAAGACTCTTGGCCTGCTTTGCCCCACCCACCAACTGTACCAGGACAGAATTCTGGCATGTTAAAACAATTGCGCCTCAAACTACATCACCTGCGGCTCTACCATTCACGGCCACTAGCTTTTTGAGGGTTTGGCGCCTGATCTCGTGGACGTGTGGCCTTATCCCCAACGCATATGGCGCACAAAAATCTGAAAGCGTGGCACCCGAGAACCCTGTCAAAAGTTATTCGTCCTGATAAAGTAATATACGTATATATTCACACTTGCATTGAGCTTGCGGTTGCAAGTTTTATGTTCACAAAAATTCACTAAAATGTCCCACCGGGACATTTTGGCTCAAGTTGGGAGGCAACCTCGAGTGTGTTGCCGACAGAGAATTGAAAAGCTCACGCCCATAGGTTTTCTTTCTGTGAACATCGCTATGGCGCACCCTATGGAGTCAGAGTACGTGATGCTTGAGACTTTCACCGAAGCTCAAACCAGCCGACACGGCTGACGAAATGGTGGACGCGGCTACGGTCAGTAATGGAGAGACTCAACCAGGAGGCGGACGCGGCCTCCACTGCTCTCCGACATGCTGAGGACGAGGCAGCGCTTGGCCTCTCTGTTTTTGGCAAGCCTGTCGTGGTGGAAGAATTGGACACGCAGCCACAGATCCTGGACCTTACTCGGCACATGGATGACCTTCGGGTCCACTTCGAAACCCTTGAGGATGGAGACAAGGGCACGGACCTTCCTGCACGTGGTGCAGCGGGGCCCCCTCGGCTCCTGCCCAGCTCATCGGCGGCTGATGCTCCTATGGCGGATGATGTGCCTACTCCCATGGAAGAGATGGCTGAACCTCTGATGGAATGGCCCATTGCTGCAGAACCCCAACTACCAGCGCGGCTGATCCATCTGCTGCTGCGGAGGAGAGTGAGCGCCCGGGCTTACGACTTTCTCCCCCCGCACCGGCGGGCTATAGTGTAGACGCGGCGGATGCCATGGCGGCTTCTGACCTCCTGGGGCAAGGGCAGACAACCCCACGAAGAGGCCCCAACCGGAGGAATGGAAGACACCTTCGTCGAAGGCACCGACCCTCTTTTGTGACTTAGGAATGTTTTTGATTTTTGGATATTATAAACATATATGCACATTGATTTAAGAACATAATTGAATTTAAAACACTAATATAGTAATTATTTACGAATTTGAATATATTTTATAATATGTGTGTTTATTTTGTTTTTGTTGGCATGGGCTTGGACCTTAACCTGCCGGCCTCGACTGTCGACCGCCTAGTGATTTGGTATTGCATGAAGATGCACCGTCACAGATCCTGCTCATTGCATATATGTTGGACGACATAGCCCAGGCTCTGTATTAGGATTGGATTTGTTGCAGACATGTGGGGACCACTTCCCAAAGAGACATCGTACCGACCCACATTTACATGGCCGCAAGTCCAATGGCCAGGAGCGGTATAGACGCAGCTCCAAAACACCGGAGTCAACGTCTTTAGGCTCTGGAAGGTAGGACGACTTGTGGCTAGACTTTCCTTACGCCAGGAGGATCTTCTATTTAACGAAATGAACTTGGATCGCTCCTTGCTGGTGTTTGTACAGTATGGACGGGGCAGACTTATGCCACAGTTGCTGGAGCGTTCAGGCACCTGGAATCTTTAGAAGCAGGAGAAGCTATAGCATCCCTTCGGCAGACCCTGTTTCAGGGAATGATCTAGGCTTTGATCGAACGAGTTGGGAAATTGCGCCTGGACCAAAGCGACGACGAGTTGGTGAAAACAGTGATGACGAGAGGAGTTTTTATCACAGACCGTCGATGGAACTACTTGGCGTGGGATGCCAAAGCCCAGATCTTGAAGCTAACCATGAGGAGATGGGTCAAATCCTGCACAGGGTCAATGCCCTGAGTTAGAACCTACAGCTGGTGCATCGGTCTGCTGCTTTACGCCCATTGCGACGGGACACTTTGCCCCAGGACGCAGCCATTGCCATACCTTGGAAGCTCGAATAGTCCCTTAGAACAGCCGAAGCCTTAGAATTATTTAGCCATATCCAACGACTAGTGGGCAATGGCATCATCTAGTTGGCACTGCTATCCGTCCCACGGGACTTTAGCGCTCTCCGCTTGCAGTGGCTATTTCCAACAAGCTGAAGAGGTGATTTTATGGCTCCGCACTCATGCCTTGAGGTCTAATGGTGCCACCGGCTATGTTTAATAACACGCTTTTTGCACAGCTGTGGGCTTAATTAGGCTATCATGGAGAATTTTACAGTGGAAGTTGGGGACGCATGGCAAATGCCTTTGGCTCGTTTGTTGACGAGCCTTGACGATTTGGATCTATATCGGGATAATTTCCTAGGTAAAGAGTTCCGGAGAATTCTTAGGATGGTTTTGCGGTGCTATGTTTGGAAAATTGATGACGCTTTATTCCGTGTTATTTCCGGGCCGGGAGATTAGACATTATTACGGCATTGAAGACCGAAATATATTCGTGATACCGATTATTTCGCATATTATATTATTAGATCATATTATATTACAAAAATTTCTATTTGGAGTGATATTGAATCTTATATTAATGTATTGCATGGCATTTATAATATAGTTTTTTGGAACGATATGTTAGTCTTGATTAAAAATTTTGTAGTGTGTATTGGTACCGCAATAAGGTGAAGATGTTCGTGTTTGTGAGTATGATTGGTTTTTAGATTGAAATGGGAATTAGTTAATATTAATATAGATGTTGTTTATTTGGGTGAAAGGTTTGATTTTGGCGATTGTTATGTTAATTTTATTTTTAGATGTAGGGGAAATATTGATAATTGTTATATTTAGACATTGATATTATGATATTGATAATAATCGAATAATTCGTTAAGATCTTTTTTATATATATTTCGCATTGATGGTTTAAATATTTGGGTGAATTTTCGCATAATGTTTAGAGGTAGGTAGGATATGGTATTTTGTCGGCTCGTTGGTTAATGTGGGCGAATGACGTATTCGTTGGAATTGAAATATATATATAGTGTTTATATATATATATGTTTTTATTTTTTTATATATTTTATGTGCATTAATATTTATTAAATAAGTATATAATTGATTAAATTATTGATATAATATAATGTATTTATTTAGTATTTAAAATTGATATTATTTTTATGTAATAATTATGTTTAATATGTTTTATATATATGTTTTGGAATTTAGGCAATATTTGGATAATTGATGAAAATCGAATGATAAGTTTTTATTCGTTCGTTATCGATGGAATTCCGCAAATTTTGCAATTTTTCGTAATTGATAATGAAGAATTTGAGGGATTTATTGATTATGATTTTTTAAAAATAAACTATGGGGGTTTTCGAATTTTGATGTATTTATATCGGTTTTATAATTTTTAATTATGTTTCGAAGCATTTTTTGCAATATATAATATATTCGAATACGATTTTGGTTGATTTAGATAAATTAATATTTTATTTTTTTAATTAAAGTAATAAATTATTTGTTTAATATAAAATATGTTTATTTATTTTTATATATATTATTAGAATATATTTATAAATATGTATTTATAATATATTGATAAAATTATATTGGTTTATATATTATAAATATGTATTATTTTGTTTTTAGTATTTTATAATTTATATGGAAAATTATTCAAATTATTTATATTGAAGCTTATTATTTATGGTTTCCGGAAAGAATGTAATAAATATATATTTAAAAATATATATTTATATGTGTTTTATAATAATTATTGATTGAAATTATATAAAAA